ATCAATACTGATCATTTTGGGGGACACTGACTTAGATCAATGGAATTAGTTTTTACAAGGAATACTAATATTCCCAAGCACATCCTCACTAATATCACTCTGAACATACACTTACTCTACTCACTATAACATAAATAGAATGCCATGGTTTACTTGCATCCTTCCCATTCATTGTAGCTATTTCCAATCATTAAGGTTCCAATCATTAATTCTTAACGATACTTCTATTAATTTCCTAGATCACTAATAAATGAATGCTGGGCAAATAGAACAGAATATTGGAAGCCAGCTTTTTTGATATACTGTATTACGGTACCTATCTTGTGTTATCTCTGTGTTTCTTCCATTTTTGAGCTATGCTACTGAAGAAATCCATATTCTTGTCCTGTTTTATATTTTTCTCCTATGCTGTTTAAAATTTCTAGAATTGAAAAATGGAAGGAAGACAGAGAGTATGCTCCAACAAGCAAGGGGCCAAACCATTCCTTGTCTCACAAGTTGGTTGCAGAATCTAGTGCACAATGATAAATTGTATTTAATCACCCCATTTAAGAGCCTTTTCATTCCTCAGTTCCCCCATTTTTAGGTTGGTTCACACAAATGTTTGCTTCATGTTTACTGTTGGCTTCACTTATACCATCTCTCTCTCTTTGGTGTCATTTAAAAATATTTCTGATGACCAGTCATAAGTATCCTCTCTTTTTCTAGCTTCTCCTCCATTTTCTGATTTTTCCCGGGTAAAAAACTGAATTTAAAAGCTAACTTTGTGACATTTTATGTGGCATTTGAAGACCATCTTGTCTTCTTTTCTTCAATGCATTTTTCTTTTCAGCAAGATATTTTTTTCCAGGAAAAGGAGCATATTAGAATCATTGTTTTTCAAGATACTACAATTAATAATCTTTTGACTTTAATCTCTAAGGGGAGAGCACTAGATATCATCCAGAAGGGCGAATTCAGGACAAAGCAATATTCTTGTTGATATATTACATTGTAAGCAGAGTTGCAGCTAGATAAGTTTGCTAAGGAGAGATTTTTCTACATTATTATCAAAGAAATCTATAGCTAACTAAACTTCTGTTACTGGGAGGAGAAACATAATGGCAGATTCTACCATTCTCCATATTGTCTGAAACAGGAACCAAAAATGCTCGGGAAGGCTGTTTCCTAGCTCATTATCCATGGCTGGAAACCCTACCTTAAAGATAGATTACCATTGATATAAAAATAAAAGCAAGCAATTATAAAGCGTAGCTATTTTTCAAGAAGAATAAAGACGTCAAATAACAATTGAGGAATCATTACAAAAATCTTGCACATTTTAAAATTCTAAGTGATTATTTTTTCAAAGTTTCACATGTCCTTAAAGAGCTCTGTTAAATATAAATCAAGTTTAACAGCAAAAAAATACTGTTTTTGTTTTTTTTTAAACTTCAGTATTTGAAAAACAGCTTTTGCAATGTTTGACTTTGGAATTAGCTAAGACGTAACATCAGCAACATAACTCATAGCCCACACTCCCTGTCTCTTAAAAGAAGGATGTCATCGCTGTGAATACTGGAATACAAAAGTGAAGGGAAAGATTAATATCATCTGGTCATTTTTAATTATAAGCACAACTAGGATTATAGAATAACAGAGTTGGAAGGGACCTTGGATCTTCTAGTCCAACCCTCTGCTTAGGCAGGAAACCCTACACCACTTCAGACAAATGGTTATTCAACATCTCCTTAAAAACTTCCAGTGTTGGAGCATTCACAACTTCTGGAGGCAAGTTGTTCCACTGATTAATTGTTCTAACTGTCAGGAAATTTCTCCTTAGTACTAAGTTGCTTCTCTCCTTGATTTGTTTCTACCCATTGCTTTTTGTCCTAACCTCAGATACTTGGAGAATAGCTTGACTCCCTCTTCTTTGTGGCAGCCTTTGAGATATTGGAATACTGCTATCCTGTCTCCCCAGTCCTTCTTTTCATTAAACTAGACATACCCAGTTCCTGCAACCATTCTTCATGTTTTAGCCTCCAGTCCCCTAATCATCTTTGTTGCTCTTCTCTGCACTCTTTCTAGAGTCTCAACATCTTTTTTACATTGTGATGACCAAAGCCGGATGCAATATTCCAAGTATGGCCTTACCAAGGCATTATAAAGTGGTATTAACACTTCACATGATCTTGATTCTATCCCTCCGTTTATGCAGCCTAGAACTGTGTTGGCTTTTTTGGCAGCTGTTGCACACTGCTGGCTCATATTTAAATGGTTGTCCACTAGGACTCCAAGATCCCTCTCACAGTTACTACTATTGAGCAAGGTACCACATATACTGTATCTGTGCATTTTGTTTTTCTTGCCTAAATGTAGAACCTTACTTTTTTCACCATTGAATTTTGTTTTGTTAGATAGTGCCCAATGTTCAAGTCTGTCTAGATCCTTCTGTATCTTAAGCCTATCTTCTGGAGTGTTGGTTATTCCTGCCAGCTTGGTGTCATCTGCAAATTTGATGAGTTCCCCATCTATCTCCTCGTCCAAGTCTTTGATGAAGATGTTGAAGAGTACTGGGCCTAAAACAGAGCCTTGGGGTACTCCACTGCATACTTCCCTCCATGTAGATGCAGTTTCATTTAGGACTACACGTTGAGTGCAGTTGGTTAGCCAGTTACGAATCTATCTGGTGGTGATGCTGTCTAACCCACATTTTTCTACTTTATCTAGTAGTAGGTTATGGTCTACTTTATCAAATGCCTTACTGAAGTCCAAGTAAATTATCTTCTAAAGTGAAAAGATATTTTCTATAGACTTCAATCTCATTGATTAATATAATCTTTATACATTTTCTTCAGAACTGAAATATTTGGCATTTGTTCATAAAACTATTTTTTATTTTCAACCATCATCTATCTTTCTATATGCACATACATACAAACAAAATCTTTTCTCAGATTAATTCTAATTTAACTGTTGTAAATTTAGAGAATCCTGGAATTATAATTGAATGAGATATTATAAAGAGAGAAATCCAGGACCTTTCACAGATGTATAATTCTAAAATTCCCATGAAAAGGATACTTTTCTTACCAAAGTAGTAGTTTGTCTGACAGTTTTTATAATAGTCATGATTGGGTTTTTGCTCTTGAAAACACAGCAAAAAACAATTTTAATATAAACACTGACGATCAAATACCTTTATTCAACCAATTATTAGAGAAAGAGTGTAGGCAAGAAAAAACAAAAGTACACATTTAGACTGGAACCAGGCAGTAACTGTGAGAGGGATCTTGGAGTCTTAGTGGACAACCAGCTAAATATGAGTCAACAGTGGGTCACCACACTATTAAAAAGGTGTTGCAACTCTAGAAAGAGTGCAGAGAAGAGCAACCAAGATGATTAGGGGACTGGAGGCTAAAACATACAATGAACAATTTCAGGAACTGGACATGGCTTGTCTAGTGAAGAGAAGGACCAGAGGAGACATGATAGCAGTCTTCCAATATTTGAGGGGCTGCCACAGAAGGGAGGGGGTCAAGCTGTTTTCCAAGGCACCCGAAGGCCAGACAAGGAATAATGGATGGAAACTGAACAAGGAGATATTCAACCTAGAAATAAAGATAAATTTTCTGACAGCGAGATCAATCAACCAATGGAACCACTTGCCTCTGGAAGTTGTGGGAGCTTTATCACTGGAGGCTCTCAGGAAGAGATTGGACTGCCATTTGTCAGAAACGGTGTATGGTCTCCTGCTTGGGTGGGGGGGTTGGACTAGATGACTTACAAGGTCCCTTCCAATTTTGTTAATCTGTTAAACTTCCTATGAGAAGATGATCAGGAAGGCTATGTCATCCTTATAAGGCTGACTTCCATGGAAATATGTAAAGAACTCAGTCTTCTGACAATTTAGACCAACTCTAATCATTTCTAGCCAGTATTGTTAATGGTAACACCAAATATCTGAAGGACATCAAACTATCCATTCAATTGTTTCCAGTTGCTACCTTAATAAATAACATGGAAGAATAAAGCTTGGAAAAGTCTATTTGGTGATTATTCCTGTAGTGATCTTAAGGAACACAAGATGCAGAACACATACAATCAATGTAACCTTATTAAGATCAACCAATCCACAAGTAGATAAGTGATAGTTCACTGCACAACATCACCTCAGTAGAGAAATATATAGTATATTTGAGTGTTTCAAGGAAGCAACAGAAGATGAATTATTCAGACTGTGACTTCCACTAACTCTGCTTTTGTAAGATTTTGGAACTCCAATGAAAAAACTGCACACTTCTCCAGTATGACCACAGAATATATAACTCCTAAGTTTGGAAGAAGAAATGTATTCTGCTTCAGGCTGTACGAAGTGGAAAAATCCAAATTACACATGCTCTTGAAACAACCCAAAGCAATTCAGTAAGCATCCAAAGTTTATTTATTTATTAAATTTTTATCCAGTGCCCATCTCACTGATACAGCAACTCTGGATGGTTTACAATATGATAAAAAGTAAAAAGGTATTACAAATAAAATTAGAAAATTAAATAGCAAAGCTAAAATCCAAGATGATGGATGGCCTGGAGGTGGGGATCTTCTCTCTACCCCATCAGCCATCCCCAATATAGCATACCCTGATTGTGGCCCCAGGTCAGCTGGAAGAGTAAAGTTTTTCAGGTTCTTCCAGAAGGTCAGTAGTATGGGGGCAGACCTCACCTTCAGTGGGAGAATATTCCAGAAAGCAGGGGCCACAGCAGAAAAGGCTTTTCCCCTGAACCCTGCCAGCCAAAATTCTTTGACAGATGGGATCCAAAGTAGGCCGCTTCTGCTAGAACAAGTGTAGTAGCCTAGTCTAGTAGGCTAGAACCGTGAGACGGTTCCTCAGATAGATTATATTGTCCTTAGTTATCTTGTGGGGATGGTGAGTTCATTACTCAACAAAGCAATCCTAAGAAGGACAAACAACAAGGCTTCTGCTTTTTAACCAAGGAGAGTTGAAAGAAACAAAGTTTTACCTTCTGCAAATAAAGCACAGTTCCTTTAAGGACAGCATAAAAGGTTTTCCATCCTCTTTTTCCTCGTGGAGCTACGAAAGCAACACAAACACAAAAAAAACATACAAATTCTGTTTAAAATATAGTAGATCTCACATAAATAATATGCTCTTTTGGTTGTGAAGCCTTCCTCAGCCCCCCGCTTTTCTTCTAAAAACTAGTTTTGATAATAAAAAAAACTAATAGAAACTAAAATTTAGAAAAAAAAGAGATTAAAAAAGAGGAAGCCAAAAGTGTAGAAAAAAGCAAGAAAATATTATTTAAAAATCATCATAAAGTAATTTTTTAAAAAAATATTGCAGGAGAAGGGTAGTCCAAAGAAGCAGCAATGCTTAATAGGGACTCGATATCTGTCCCTTCCAGAAAGAAAAATTATTAATATTCTCTCCCCGGGCCTCTCCTATATTTACCAGCCCTGTATTCATTGGAGCTACCTGCTACAAAAGTGGTCCCAATGAACAGAAACATGTAAAAAAATAAAGCAATGGGAAAGCTTTTCAGCCTATTTCAGAATTTGGGGTTTTTTTGGGATTGGGGGGAGAATTGGCTCTTGGTCGAGTCCCAGTTTTCTCAGCAAGATTTCAGAAGTGGTTTGCCATTGCCTCCTTCCTAAGACTGAGAGGGAAGAATGGCCAAGGTCACTCAGCTGGCTTTGTGCCTAAGGAGAGGAACTAGAATTCCTCCTGGTTTTGAACTTAATGCCTTAAATCAGGGGTCCCCAACCCCCAGGCTGTGGCCTAGTACTCAACTGCAGCCGTTCAGAACCGGGCTGCACATGCAGCTCCACTTGCGCATGCAAAGGTGTGCGCCTGCTGCTCTCAGAGAACAATCCCAGTGGTGAAATGCAGCCGGTTCTATCTGGCTCGGGCGAGCCAGTAGTGCCGGTGGTGGGAGGCTCCGCCCACCCACCCAGACGTCATCACGTCCCGTTTTTGACCCTCTGCGTATGCGCAGAAGGCTCTGCGCATGCATGGAGGAGGTGCGCGTGCTCACATCTGTGAATCGGTAGCGAAGGTAAGTGGATTTCACCCCTGAACCATCCCTTCTCCTCCGCCCCCCATTGCTCCACCAAGCCAGAGAGGTTGGGGACAGCTGCCTTAATCACTACACCAAACTGGCTCTCCCGGGCTTGAACTAAGAAGAGGCTAAGCAGGAAAGCAATCTCATCTTTTGAACTCTGTCACAGAGACCTCTTCCCGCATATCTGTGGCAAGTGAAATGACTGGAAGGGAATAGCAAAGCCTAGCAAAGAGAAAGAATATTGCAGCTGTGTGCTGATTCCCCCTTCATCTCCTGGAGCAATTCTCAGATGGGTTGCTGGAGCTTTTTCTCTCCTTAACCTTCCTAAATACTTGCACAAGGCATTTTCTCAGCTTTTCCTTCTGGGCTGCCAGATTCCCAGTTACTCCTCTAGTAGCACTAGAAGAGTGCTTTTATTTACATTCCCAGTAGCAAGCAAAGAGGCACACGCCATTGTGCATATTCAAGTTTCTGTATTTACCATTTCCCTCCCTCCCTCCCTCTCCCAGTTATCTCTTTTTCTTGAAAGAACAGCTCCCTCTGAAAGACACTCACTCTTCTTTCCATCCATATCAGCATGGATTTTACGTGCCAGGAATCCGGTTTTGTACACAGCAGCATTGGGATCGTGTGGAATATCCAGGAAGGGGTTATTGGAATTGCCGATGCGACTGACAGACTTGGACTGGTTTCCATTATCCTTCTCATCAGTGCCATCAGAAGGGGATTTTTTCTTCTCTTCGTCATCTCTAAAACAAATCCAAACACAAACTTCACATTCACCAGTGCACATTTTATTTTACTAGTCAGATTAAGCAAAGGCGCATATTTGGTTATGATCGTCTTTATTTACTGAGTAGCTGGAAAGCTTGATTTCATGCTAGGAGGACCTGTGGTTCTAAAACGAGCAGAGCTGAATATCGTGAATATCTTATATTAAACCGCAAGGAATCTCATTAGTTTCAGCGGGATGGTTTAGATGTATCTTTGGGGAGAGGAATCGGGATGGAAACCTTGGGGGAATTACATTCAGCAACAAGGTGGTTCATGTTGAGGCTTTGTGTATTTTAATGTGCTATTTCAAGAGTTTCATATTTTAAATTACAGGGGATGGGATGAGGACCTTGCAGATCCTGATTTTCTGGCAAGAGCAGCTTGCAACAGCTGGACATTGTTGATCGAAGTTCAAAAAGACTTGGCAAAGACTCTTGTAATTGAGCCCTGGAGCTTCAATGTACGGAAAATTGCCATCCTGCCCAGTGGATAAACTGTTCTGACCTACTGTCCCTATTGTACCCCAGAGTCCTTCAGCCTTTCCTATTGTCCTTTTTCTCTTATAGTCAGTAACAAGGAAATGGTCAGCCCTTCAACCTAGACCAGATCAGAAAACAGACTCCACAGGACTGTAACTATATTTTATTGAGCTAGGCCTTAGTAACAGAACCTTGCAAGCCTGTCCATCTCTCCCCCTCCTTCCTCCTTGTACTCCAGGGGTTTTTATGTCTGAGACTTTATAATACTCTTCTGTCTCTCGAAACGTAAGATATTCCTTCTGCACCTGAAAGCTTTTGAATTCCTTCTCCAAGGTCATCTCCCTGGCTTCCTACACAAATTAGATCAGTGATTCTCAAACTTCTTTTTCTTCACCAAGGCATATTTACTGAGACTACAATACAAGTATTTAGCATACTAGATCCCAGAATTTAGCATCCAGCTAGATCCCACAATCTAGCATACGACAATCCCTACACAACCAGTAGCTCCAAGATGATAGAATGTGCTACAGATTGAAATGGGGAAATCGTACATTTGTTTTGCCTCTGAACTATGATTCCCTCTGCACACCCTATCCCACTATCACATGCACACTGCTACCACCGCATGCAGCTTTGACGCAGCTGTACAAAGCAAGACGGGCATTTCCTCCTTTCCTCTCTGCTGAAATCTGTCACAGTCCAGGCATGAATTAATGGAACTGGTCTCTGCTTTATTTTTGGATCGTACCCTCGGATACAGATTATCTGTCAGTATCCTCAGATGGAAGCGTTCTAAATCAACACTCTGTCGTGCAATAATTCCTCTGCATCTTAACTTTTATTTCAAAACTAAAACCAAGGAGCAGCTACTTACTTCAACTTCTGTCAGTTTACACATATTCCGCCCCCCCCGAACCACTTGCCCTCAATCAAGAAAGGCAGTTTGGTTCTTTAAATGTTAAGATGTCCGTAAATCATGCAGAACAGAAGGCAACTGGGCTTTCTTGTTTTTCCTTGAAGACGTTTCGCTTCTCATCTAAGAAGCTTCTTCAGTTTTGACTAAAGCTTTTTGGATGAGGAGTGAAATGCCTTCAAGGAAAAACAAGAAAGTCCAGGTGCCTTGTGAAAAAGCACCTTTGAGACAACCATGACCTAGATGATTGAGAATCTCCAGAGACATGCAGAACAAAACTAAGTTATGAGTGTCATATAGTGTACCTATACAATCTCAGGCTCCTCCACAGCTTTCCATGAAAATCTTCAGATGTTGCTTAAATTTAAGTCCCCCTAAAAGTACCTACAAGTTTCATTGATAGGCCAACTACAGAAATTCTGAACTAACGGGAAAGTGGCTCTTTCCATTATTTACTACTGCTGTTCTACAAAGATGAACCACAAAAAAGCTATGCAGCCAGAATGGCGTTTTTTTCGTTCTCCTTTGTAGAACAGCAATAGCGAATAATGGAAGGAGCCACTTTCCTGCTAATTTGTTACTAAGATGCATTTAGGTGATCACCAAATTTTATCTGTCCTTTGTCATCTTCTACTAGCTATCCAGCATAATATGCCCTGTTTTCTATCCTACCATAGGATATTCTACAATGGTTTCCTTATTTCTTTGCTTTTTCTGATAATTCAGATAAGTATTTCTAACACACTACTAGTTTTCTTCTTCTTAAAGCTTTTCTGCTTTTTGAATATCAGCTGAATGTTGATTCATTGGTTGTATCCAGAAATGATCAACTGACTTGTCTGAACCTGACACTGTGGGCCAAGAGAGAATGACTGACCCAAATCACCTTGCTTTCATGCCTAAAATGGTAGTACAGTGGTCTAAAGCACCCTGTTATTAAGACCAGCTGCCTGCAATTACTGCAGGTTCGAATCTCGCCAGGCTCAAGGTTGACTCAGCCTTCCATCCTTTCTAAGGTAGGTAAATTGAGGACCCAGTTGTGGGGGCAATAAGCTGACTTTGTATAAATATACAAAAGGATGAAGGCTATTGCTTAGCACATTGTAAGCCGCCCTGGGTCTCCAGAGAAGGGCGGCATATAAATAAAAAAAAAAAATGGGAGTAGATTTCACAGTCACCTGGTTTCTAGCCTGATGCCTTAATCATTAGACCAAGGGTGTCAAACTCGATTTCATTGAGGGCCATGTCAGGGTTGTGTTTGACCTCGGGGGGCCACGGGAGACATGGCCAGGGAAGGCATGGCCAACTCGACATCATTTGTGTCGAGGGCACCTGTGGTGGCCCGAGCACTCTGCCAGCAAAAATAGGCTCCCGAGCTCCGTTTTCAGCTGCAATGGCCTCCTACAACCCTCTGCTGCTGAAAACGGAGCACTCCATTTTCGCTGGCAGAGGCACCACGGGCCAGTCCTTCGCTGTTTCCAGGACAGCCCCGTGGGCCAGATCTAAGCACCCCTCGGGCCGGATTTGGCATCCGGGCCTTGAGTTTGGCACCTTTGTACTAAACCAAATTGGCTCACTTTATAATATCACCAATGTCCAAAAATAGCAGAGGCTCTGTTAGATGGTGTTATGAACCAAAGAATGCTTCCCCTTAATAAACTAATAAACATCTTGGAAGTGTCACTCAGCTTCGTCAGCCAATTGAGAGAAAATAGGCAAAAGACAGGGAAACAAAAAGTGACTTTAGATACCAAGATTAATTATAGATAGGGGCAGGGCTCAGTCATCAAAGTATGTCAGCTAATTTCAATAGCAGAGAAATGCTATATTCTCAAGAGCATCAGGTGGTATTGGCAACTGGATTATGTGATCAATAGTTATCTGTATCTAAATAGCAATGTAACTGTATTCGCCCTATATTTATAACTATTTATGTTTAAAAATTACATTAGTCATGATTCTGAACAGCATATAAATTGAAACAACATTGATTATAGTAAAAAGTCCAAAAAACGTGAAAACCCAGGAACTAAAGCTTTAATAAAATTCCCTTCAGGGCAGATAATAGATATTACAAGTATTCCTTGACTTACAACCATTTGTTTAGTGACCATTTGAAGTTACAATGGCACCGAAAAAAGTGACTTATAACTTTTTTTCACACTGGTCATGTGATCAAAATTCAGATGCCTGGCAACTGGTTCATATTTATGATGGTTGCAGTGTTCCAAGGTCATGTGATCGCCTTTTGCGACCTTCTGACAAGCAAACTCAAGAGGCAAGCCAGATTCACTTTACAACTGTGATATTAACATAATAGCTACATTGATTCCCTTAACAACATAATAGCTACATTGATTCCCTTAACAACAAGAAAGGTCGTAAAATGGGGCAGAACTCACTTAACAACTGTTTTGCTTAGCAAAGGAAATTTGTAGCTCAATTTTGCTTGTTAATCGAGGGTTACCTGTAAATAAATGGAGAGGTTCCCTCTCCTGACCTGCTGGATTGGAGTTTTGGCCTCAATTGTGGTCGTGAAGATTCTGTCCAATGGTAGGTTGCTCCCGGTTCGCAAGAACCATAGTAAAAATTTGTAGTAGTTCGGAGAACCGGTAATAACATTGGCTGGCCGTGCTACCGAACCGGTCCCCGGCCTGGTCGCCGCTCGCTTACCCCGCCCACCTCATCAGAGGCTTTTTTTTTAACTTTTAAAATCATTTTTTTTCCTACAACCCAGCTGAGTTGCCTGATCGTCAGAGGCTTTTAAAAGCATTATTTTCTGCAATCTCTTAAGAGGTTGAAAAAAAAATGCTTTTAAAAGTAAAAAAAAAAAAAAAGTTGGTCACACCCACCCAGTCACATTACCTCCCAAGCCACGCCCACAAAATAAGCCATGCTCACAGAACCAGTAGTAAAAAATTTTAGAACCCACCCCTGATTCTGTCCATTTCCTCAGGAACCAGAAAATCAAATGTTTCCTAGGTAACAAAACAAGTTAATGTCTTAGTCAACTCACATGGATTCACTCATTCAGAATTGTACTCTGAATGAATCCAAGTGACTTTTTATGATAGGAGCCTAGAACATTCATACAGTGGCCATGAAGATATTTCTGTGACTCCTGAGTAAATTATCTTAAATCAGGCTATTGCTTTATTGTGACAATGGCATACTTCATATGGACTCTTACAAAGATGGGATAATTCACTCTTCATTGTCCTCCAATGGTACTCTACATGTCTCTTCTGTTGTTTCATCTTTCAGACCTCCTTGGAAAACCAAAAGTCTCCATTGACAAATGGGGAGAAGGCATATAGGAAGAATCCAAACCAAAGTCCCTTCTACCCATCTATTCCAGATGGCAACTAAGACCCCTATTCCCTCTAGAATACATCTGGGCCCATTACACTGGTCAATAAATTAACTTATTAGTCAGTTGAAAAGCAATCATACTTTTCATGATAGGGTCTTACAATGGTGGCTACAAACCTCTGAACGTAATGCTACATTAGGATAGATTAAAATTGCTAGGAACTAATAACCTCCCTATCTTCACTGCTAATCCAGCAATGGAAATTGA